GGGTTCCACCTGCCTGCAGCCAAAGAGGAGAGAAACCAATTCCAAATGCTACAAACTAAAGGATAGGAGACTACTAAATGGTGAATTTCCCCACATGCATTACTCAGAAAACATTTAGAATGTGAGAGACATCAGTTCGGTTGCACTGATCCATTCTAAATCTCTGTTACCAGAAAAAGGAAAAGGTTGAGCCAAGGGGAAGCCAAGGAAATTACACAGAAGAAAGATGCACAGGAGAATAGGCCAGATGGGTTGGCTACCCAGACGCAACTATCTTACGAAGACTCATTTAAGTAAAACCCCAGCAAAGGAGCGCAACAAATTTAGGACTATGGGCACCTAAGAATCCCCAAGTCCTTTATAGAAACCAAAATTCCAATTGGTGGCAAACTCTATTGTTTTAACACTCTATTTAACATATCCCTGGCAAGCCCCGTGTATCTTCAACCACTGAAGTGTAAAACAACGAGATTGATACAGAAAACTGAAATATAACCTGTTGAAGAGTGTAGATTGAATACTACAAATAAAACTTAAACAAGTCAAAAGATTGTTCTAATAAAATTAATATAGTAAGATTCAACATCATAATCATCTAAATCCTGTCCCCACTATATGGAGTCATCTACATGAATCCAGTTTCACCATTTCATTCTGTTCAGTTCCATAAACATCATTAAATTATGGGTGCTTAAGTCATTTCTTATTACTTCCACCCAAGTCCTTTTCGGTCTGTCCCCAACTCTTCTAGCACCTTCAACTTGCAACAGATTGCTTTTTCTAACAGGTGCTCTGGATGGCGCTCTATGCACATGACCTACATTTATGATATTTACTGTAATAAATGTAGTAACACTACCTACTATAAAAAGCTTTACATAAGCATTTCAATAAAGAATAAAACAAAATCATCAGTGACTGAAAGAAGGCCTGCAGGCCCTGCTCGCACAACTTTTTTTATGAGTGACCTTAATCTTTTGTTTACCTTTTGTAAGTATAAAGATATACAAAGAGGGGGGAAGCCAAAAAGACCACATACAGTATGCAGCTCTCTACACCCAAATACAAACTACAAAGTCTCACATAGTAAAAGAGCCACCATAGAATATAGCACATCATAAAGTAATAAAGAACTGAAACACAAATTTTTAACTATAACCAAATTGAAAGAAGAAAACTACCAAATCAACTATTTTACAACAATCTTCCACTTAGATGTTAGATAATTTTCAAGATGCTCTCCAAGAAATCAATGAGAAATCTAACATTATATGATTACCCATCAGCATCCACTCTCTCTGAAAATCCATATAGAGGACTGTTTGGTTCAAGGGGTGAATCACAGGAGTCATTCTCTGCAGAGTCACTCTCTCCTGCAGAAGCAATATGGGACATGACAATTGCCTTGGTTGAACATGGTATTAGTTGCCCAGGAAACCTCATAAGATCAACGAGTAATTCCACCGAATTCAACACAACTATCACAGACATATGCTTATATGAGTCTGCACGCTCAATAGCTCCATCACTAGGCAGACCCTGACAAAGTGAACAGACAATTGATGATTCTTGAGAAATAATGGTTGGCAATGAAAAATACTGGAAAAAGACCCTCCACCATGAAATAATAGACACCAAGACTAGAAAAATATTCGAGATATTTACAAGAAAGTAGATGAAATAATATGAGTAATTCAAACTAAAAATAAAGAAAAACCTTACCACAATAAGCTTACTCTCAAGACCTACAGTATCTGCAAGAACTTTGAATAGGATCGCTCGAGGATGACAAGAACCGTGCTTTATTTGTCCCAAGAGCTGGACACCTCGATTCTCTGAAGCATGAGAGATGTCCTCAACAGAAGTTTTTGCTGGACTTAGTTCTGAATTTGGTCGTTTATAAATATCAGAAACCTGCACAAGAGAACATTGAAGCATGCAAGTAAACACTAGTTATATGTACAAATTCCCTGTAATGACAAAGATGTAATTATTAACCTATATTAATGTCTATATTTGTTAGAAGTTGTACTGCAAGCAGGTGTATGTATGTCTTTTCAGTTCAGTTATGAGTCAGTTTTATGTAAGGGTAGTTCTTTCATTCTACCCCCATTATTTTCATTACAAGCTAATTGATTCAGGGGAGAGAGTTTTTTATCTGTCCACCAATTTCTTATTTATCTCGTGTTTGATCCATTAGAACAGCATCATGTGTTGCCTTTTCTCCAAACTCCCTCCCCAAATTAACCCCCTATTCCAAACTATCTCCAGTTGATAGTTGATACATCCATGAAGTAAGACAATGCGCACATTCTATATATTACTAATAGAATTCTCATAGCTTCTTAGGAACCACCTCCATCCCTTGAGAGAAAACAACCAAAGAATACTCATGACAATCTGTTCAGTTGTAAGATTCAAGGTTGAGTTGGGTAGAATAAGAAGAAGAGAAGAGAGAGCCCCTACTTTGGGCACCCAAATACAAATAGATGAAAACGACCAAAAGGCCCCTGCATTACATATTCTCAACACTAACCCTCAAGCTGAGCATAGATATATATGCAGTGAACATGTAGGCATATCTCTCCATTGGCTTTCTTCTCTCTTGTGAAGATATATCTTGATGTACATTATTAGTATAGCCCTTGTTGTACAGTATAGTATTCTTATTATTTTATTTGTTCTTTCTATCTTTCATCCCTATAAGGGCATTCTTGTAACTGGACAATCTTTCATATCCTTTAATATAAAGAGGCTCTTTGGGGTGGGGGTCGATTATTCTTGACACCCCTAATCTGCTCTCTCTCTCTTGTTCTCAATTCGGTTCACATGGTATCAGAGCAGGTTGCTCTCTGATCCATTTCTCCTCTTTTTCTTGATCACTTGAGAACTATTATCAGTGTCGATTGGTTCTGGACTGTTTTGATCTTTCTAGGAACCATTTCTCAGTATTCTGCGCATCTAGTAAGAGAGATTTCGTTAGATCTCTCTCGTTTGACATCAGTTTTCCGTAAGATTTGAAAGGAAGTGTCGCCTAGCCCTCCTCAACATATTCTGAATTTTTCATTGAGATCTGTTAAGTTTTGAGAGAGATCTATACATCTCTTCTGGGCAGCTATGTCCAGACTTTCCTTTTCTAGACTGTGTATCCAGTCAGTGTTTCAAAAGGCACGCCTGAGGCACAAGGCGAGGCGTTTTCGAGAGTTGGCGCCTCGCATGGGTCAAGGCAGCTACACTTTAGTAAGGCGCTCGCCTCTGCGCCTAAGGCGTGTGCCTCAGACCAGGCGCCAGGCGGTCTAGGCGCGCGCCTATGTTTGGTTGCCCTTTGTTTTTTTATTTGTTTTTAAATTGAGTTTTATAGATAGATAGATTATAATCATATATGTATAGATTATTTCCTTTTATGTGCCAAAATGGTTGGGATATGGTATAGCAAATATGAAAGAAAATCACGACCCTCTCAAGAGAAAAAAACTTGCCATGCAAGGCTTATCAGACTCCCAGTATCAATCGAAGTCTCGAGCCCTCAGCCCCCACGTTCTTCTTAGATCAACAAGTTCAGGCCATCTCTCAATCGAACAACCACCTTCGAAGTTCTATCAGAGGCCACCTCTCAGTCAGATGACCAACTGCAACGTTCAGGCTTTCAGCAATCAGCATCAGGTATTTGTTTCTTCTTTTTTTACACTGAAAACAGGGGTTCCGCCCGCCCCCTTGTTCTTCTTCTTTTCTTCTTCTTCTTCTTTTCTTCTTCTTCTCCTTCTCCTTCTTCTTCTTCTCCTCCTTCTTCTTCAGTTCTTCTTCTTGTTCACAGAAAAACAGGGACTCCGCCCACTCTTGTTTTTTCTCATTGTCTTTCTTCTGAAATATTTTTACAGTGAAACAGGGGTTCCGCCCCCTTCTTCTTCTTCTTTTCTTCTTCTCCTTCTTCTTTTTCTTCTCCTTCTTCTGTTCTTCTTCTTGTTCACAAAAAAACAGGGGCTCCGCCCACTCTTGTTTTTTTTTTCATTGTCTTCTTCTTCTTCATTGTTTTTTTCATTGAATTTGAAAACAATATTTTTTTATCAGCAGCAAATATTAGTTTGAATTTGAAAACAGTAAAACAGGGCTCGACCCCTTTCTTTTTTTATTTTTAGTTTTTTCTTTGCTTCTTTCTTCCCCAACTTTCTTCTTCTTCTTCTTTTCCATTCTTTTTTTTACACGAAAACAGGGCTCCCAGCCCCGGCTCTGTCTGAACTTCTGTTTCAGACTTTCAGTTCAGTTCAGTTCAGTACTTCAGTTTTCTATTTTTGTTGCATTATTTTCTGAACTTCTGGTTACAGAAATACAGAATACAGATTGAAGTATTGAATGAACTTTCAATAAAAATAAAAGAAAGAAATTTAGCATTACTGATTTCTATTTCGGTATTTCCTTGGTTAGCTATTTTAGTTGATTTGTTTTTTTTATTATATATTTTTATTTTGATTGATTATAAAATATTAATTTAGTTTCCTCTTTTTTTTTGTACAACTAGATACGGATGAAGGCAATACTTCTCATGAAACTAGTAGTGGTAGGAGATCCAGCATGAAAGTATTGCTCTTTACAAGACCCAAAAAATACAAATTCAGTCACTTGCAAATTCTGTGGAAAAGTGACTAATGGAGGAATTTATAGGGCAAAAGAGCACATTGTTGGTGATAGGAGAAATGTTAAAGGATGTATCAAGTGCCCTAAAGAAGTTAGGGAAGAAATTTTGGGATATATGCAAAAGAAAAGAACGATAAAAGAGAACATGATGATGGAAGAAAGGGATAGAATCCCTGATTTTGATGATCATGATAATATGATTGAAAGTGAAGATGATGATGACGAAAGGAATGGTAGGATCCATCGTATGGACGCCAAAACTGTTGCGGAATGGGTGGGCGAATTTCAAAAACTTCCTACCTTCCTTCCAACTAGGAATCGCATTCCCTGATTTTAGAATCAAAATTCAAGGATGCTACTTGAACCAAACCAGACCAAATTTGAACCAGAAGAGAAGGGAGTGATTATACCTGATCCAGAGAAGTAGTGTCTCCCAACGTTGGTGTTCACGCCCAAAGAAGATCCCAAGATCAGCTCCCACTGAAGATGACACAGTGATGATGGAGCCGAACTAGTAGTGTTCGTCCCACGAACCAGGTTCTTCTAAAGAACTCGATGGAAGACTGTGAGCACCACACGGACAATCAAGAACCTTTCTTGATTTTCTCTAACTGAGAACTCGAACTGGCAGAAAAGGTGGCGGCGGCTGCTGGAGGAGAATGCTAGAGAAGAAAGTGGCGAACTGCTATTTTTTCCTCTAGGGTTACTTGAGATCCTATCTCAAGAATGCAGTGTGGTCTACTGAAAACACCAAGGGTTCGAATTCAAGTAATTCGAAATTAGGGTTTTCCCCCTCTTTCTTAGTGAATAAGAAAACCTCCTAATCATATTAGGAGTTGCCCTTATCCAAATCAGTATTTGGATTAGGACTCTTCTTAATCTTATCTGTAGATTAGATCAGCTTTTGGGCTTAACCTAATCTCAGATCCACCCCTTTAAGTGACTGATCAAATCAGCCCAGATCGAAATGGGCTTTAGGCCCAATATGTAT